ACATTTCCGTCACACGCTTGAGGTATTCAGCCAATCACAACGCACTGGATAGCTGGCCAATCAGAGCACACCTCGCTTTTCAGACCGATGAGCTTTATAAAAATCGAGCGTTTCAGAAAGGCGGGGCATAGAGGAGAAACAATAATGTACAGTATGTGGAAAATAATGTGGTTTTTGAACCTTAAACCGCATAAACACATTTCATTACACCAAATGCACAAAATAATGTTCTTTTTAGCAACTTCATATGACCTCTTTAAAATATATATTTGAATAGAAAAGTTATTTTAAATTGTAATAATATTTAACAATATTACGATTACTGTTCTTTCAAAAACATAAAAGAAATCTTATTGACCCCAAATTTTTGAACAGTAGTGTATAAAAAAACAAACAAACAAAAAACAAGTATACTATAATTCATTTGTCTCTAAACACTCTAAAAATGCGCCTCTCTATCATTCTCACAGATATAATAAGTTGTTATCAGTGATTTCCCGGCGTCTCAGTGATCTGGTGAAGGCTTTGAAGGGTTTGGTGGTGATGTCATCTGAACTGGAGCTGATTTCTAACAGTCTGTTCATCAACGCTGTTCCAGAACTATGGAAGGCCAAGGCAAGAATCTCCCAAATGTTAACCATGCAAGACATGCACTGAATTTGTGGAATGAGTGTTTTTGTTGCAATGTCGTGACTATGCAAACTTATTTGAAATATTTTAATGGGACACAGGTAGCATAATATTCTTCTTTTTCATAATATCCATCTCTTAAGCCATTGGCTTCCTGGGTGTCAGATCTGGTCCAGCGCATAAGCTTTTTGCAGAACTGGATCTCAGATGGCATTCCTGCTGTATTCTGGATCAGTGGGTGCTTCTTCCCCCAGGCCTTCCTCACAGGAGCCCTGCAGAACTTTGCCTGTAGCTCTTCGGTCTCCATTGACATCATTGCTTTTGACTTTAAGGTGCATAATTTGTTTTCAGCAGCAAGGGTTTCTTGCATTAAACTCAGTTTGAAGCCTCAACTATGTTTCCATATTAAGCTCTCAAAGCACGCTTGATATTTGATAGACCATTAAGAGAAGTATGGTATACCTGATAAGGTCAAACACTGGAATAGGACGTTCTGTTGCTTGATCTAAACAGCACAATGTGTATATTTATTTTTAGGAACCATGTGTCTTGAAGTGGTTAGTGGTTTTCTTTGATTTCCTCTGTTTGAACCCTCTTTTAGGTGATGAAGTAAGCGGTAGCAGAGCTGACTGAGGGGCCTGAAATCGGCTGCTTCGTCCACGGTCTGTATCTTGAAGGGGCTCGCTGGGATGCAGAGACAGGCCAGTTTGCTGAATCCCGTCCCAAAGAGCTCTACAAAGAGATGGCTGTTATCTGGATGGTACCCGTTCCCAACCGCAAACCCCCTCAATCTGGAATCTACGTGTGTCCTATCTACAAAACTCTTACCCGTGCTGGTGAGCAATTTGAATAGTATTGTTTGTGAAACTTGCCACAGTCTTTTGTTAATGTTTCATTACTGTACATCCTGTGGAGTCATGTGATTTATGTGAAAATTTGGTTTGTGATTTACCACAGAGATCTGAAAAGTTTTGTTTTTCTTCCACAGGAACTCTCTCGACCACCGGCGGGCACTCACCCAACTACGTAATTGCAGTTGAGCTGCCCACAGATCGTACCCAAGGGCACTGGGTCAAACAGGGTGTGGCACTGATTTGTGATCTTGACTACTAGACTTATACACAAATCCTTATTCATACATACATAAAAGCTTCAAGCAACATGAGAAAAATATAGAATGATAATTACACTGTAAACAATGTCAGTTAAGTTTTATTCATTTATTTTGGTTAACAGTCTTATGCATGGATGTAGTGCTGTACTAAATCTTGGGACCATGAATTGGACTCAAACACCCAGAAATGATGATGTCATGCAATACATATAGCATAGTATTTATTAATATTTTAATATGTCACAAGGATAGTATATCATAGTATTTATTCATATTTTAATATGTCACAAGGATAGTATATCATAGTATTTATTCATATTTTGATTAAATTGAATTTGAATTTATATTTTCAGTTTTCATTTTTATTTTAATTCAAGTTTTAGCAATCTTTAGTTTTAGTTTTTTTTTATATTTCTATTTAGCTTTTATTCATTTTTATTTCATTTTTATTTAGTTGTAAAGACAAAATCTCTAATTTTCACTTAAATTTAAGTTAAATTTTCTTAGGTATATTTTGTTTTATGTCACATTTTTTGAATTAATGAAAACAATCTGAATTGTTTTAGTTATAAAAACAATAACAACATTGCAGTAAACATTAGACAGACATAAATATAAAAATAATAATAATAATAAAAAAAAAATATATATATATATATATATATACTTTTTTAATTTATTATTTCTTTTTTGGTAATTACATGACCAAAAATTCTGATTAATGCAGGCTTAAACTAGGTGACTCAATCTAATGTCTAACGGGAATAGTGGCTTTAGGTCATCTCGATCAAGTGCTGCCACAATAAATGTGCGCGGCTCCTTTAAGAGAGTAGCGGTTTAGAAGCTCGCGCTTCCGCAACAGACACTGACCCCAATGTGAACGCGCGCGCGCACAGCGGCATTACAGTCGATGACGGGAACTGCGCATGCAGCAGGACAAGACACTTTCTTTTTAATTTATGACACTTTTAATATGGACCTTTCCTACTGAACGTGAATATGACTTTTATTACTAGATAACACTGTTTTTGGAATTCATTCTCATAACTTAATGGGTTTTAAAAAAATAAAAAAGTGTTAAACTTTATTAATGAATCTTCCTGGTGATGTTGAAACCGGCGTTTTACTTATATGTATCTGAACATAAGTGGCCTCATGCTGTAATTCTGTGACCGTCAGTCATCACAGGAATTCATCAGCAGTGTATTTTCGGAACAGCGTCACTCAGTGACAGCGGGACCCGCGCGGATAGTTTATCTGTGGATTTTAAAGGACCATCTTAAGCCACGTTGAGTGACTGATAGCTTAATCTCATCTGCACTGAAAGATGCTTCAGAATGGCAAGTCTCAAACGGACAACGCGTCCGAGCCAGAGCCAAAGCCCGAGGCGCAAAGCGAGAAGACAGAAGCGAGCGAGAGCGCCGCGTCTCACCCAGAGACTGAGTCCACAGACACCGACCCCACTCAGTTCCCCCTGCCCGTCTATCCCAAACTAGAAATCAAGCGCCATGCTGTGACTGATGACTACAAAATCTCAAGTCATGTGTTGGGTCTGGGTGTTAACGGCAAAGTTGTGGAGTGCTATAACAAGAAAACCGGACAAAAGTGCGCGCTGAAGGTAAATCACACACACGTTGTAATGGGGATATAATGGGAGAGTTGAATAAACTCATATGATAGACATGTTTGTTGGCAAGTTGACATAATGAACTCTGTTAACCTGATCCAATAATTTCAAAAGCAGTCCTTAAGCCTCAAAATATTAAGCACAACGGGTAGTTAACAAATATCATGGACATTAACTTCTTTTTTCTGTATTAAAATTATGGGACTTTTCACCCATTCGTTAGCCTTTAGATGTTCAATTCTCTGAAAGTGACATCTTTAAATATTTCATAAATATTTAATGTAGTATCTTAATATAAAATCTAAAAAGTTGTATCATACCTTTTTGACAAGGTTTTTAAAATAGGGAATCTTAAAATTGTGTATTGTGAAAATAACTTGATTAAAAGTCCTTGACCATTGAGTGAATATAGATTTTTATCAGCTGTAAATTTTATTGGCAATGAAAGTGTTCTTCATTAGTCATGACTCATGAATGACTGAAAAATTCAGAGAAAATCACATTGGTCGAAAGGTTCGAGAACCCTGCAAAGAAGAATTTTGTTAGATGACAGTTATATAAAGTTCATGTCAAATATGACAGCTTTGAAAAACAGTTTCAAATAAAGTAACATTTTCGGTAGCACTTTATTTTACAGTCCTGTTCTGCGTGTATACGTTCTTGTTATAGTAATTACAATAACTGGGTAATAACTAACTTGGACCTACCCCCAAACCGAACTCTAACCCATGTTACCTTATATTATCCAGTACTGGTAAGTGCACTCTAAGTACAGATAAGTGCACATACACTCTTAAAAATAAAGGTGCTTCACGATGCCATAGAAGAACCTTTTGTCTAAATGGTTCCATAAAGAACCTTTAACATCTGAAGAATCACCTTTCTGTTTCACAAAAGGTTCTTTGTGGCGAAAGAAGGTTCTTCAGATTATAAAAAGGTAAGAAAGAGATGGTTCTTTAAAGAACCTTTGACTGAATGGTTCTTTGTGGAACCAAAAGTGGTTCTTCTATGGCATCGCTGTGAAGAACCTTTTGAAGCACCTTTATTTTTAAGAGTGTACTGTAAAATGTGCAACCAAATTTTCTAATGAGCTTAAATTTGCTGTAGGTGTTGCTTGAGCTAGGAGTTTCGCCTCATTAATCAAGAAAGTAATTCATTATGTATTCACTATGAGTTTTTGAATCTGATGTATCAGAAAACAGTTAATTTACTTGTCTTAAGGGTCTCTAAGTTTTTGCGTGTGTCATGGCACCGTACCTCATGTAAAGGGTCACATGCTGGAGTTACAAACAGTGCTGAGGTTCCTGGAGGGCCACCAGTTAAAGGGTTGCCAAATCTGACTTGGCTCTTTAAGGAGATGAGGTGTGACACACAGCACTCAGGCAGAGCAATGGAAATATGTCACCCAAGTGCCATCGTGGACAGGGATTTACTGTCCAGTACAATCCAGCTGGATCAGAAGAACTCAATATGCACATAAGGAGAAAAAAAGGAGGCATAAGGAGTATAATTGTATCTATGTATTAATTTCTATTGTTTTATTAATGAATGAATGAATTCATTCATTTATATTAATTTACTATTTATTATATTACATTTATTTATTCATATTAAGTTTCTCTGATTCAACTTATTAAATATCATGTTTATTGTAAATCTAAATATTTAAACTAATATATCCAAATAAAGATTAATAAATGAGTGTTTATTTAAATATTTTGGGGGAAATTTGCCTAGTCTAATCCATTATTAAAATTACAATAGGACACTGTAGGTGTAGGAAGAACTTAGAGATGCAAAGTGTACCAAAGATTCGGGGAATGATACATCTAATCTTGTTAATTTTTTATTATTTATATGTTGTGATCAATTAGAGCTTATAAACTTTCCTGCCCAGTGCCCACCTGTAGTTTTTCAGGCCATCTGATATTTGGCAAGTCTGTACTGCACCTGTTCTCTCTGTTTTACAACTTAGTGGAAGATGTCTAACTAGGCTTAAACAGCAGCTGACCTACACTCTTAAAAATAAAGATGCTTCACGATGCCATAGAAGAACCTTTTTGTCTAAATGGTTCCATAAAGAACCTTTAACATCTGAAGAACCTTTCTGTTTGACAAAAGATTCTTTGTGGCGAAAGAAGGTTCTTCAGATTACAAAAAGGTAAGAAAGAGATGGTTCTTTAAAGAACCTTTGACTGAATGGTTCTTTGTGGAACCAAAAATGGTTCTTCTATGGCATCGCTTGAAGAACCTTTTGAAGCACCTTTATTTTTAAGAGTGTAAGGTACGCATTCAGTGTCTTTCGTAATGGTTAATGTCAGGATTTGAATATCACACAAAGTCAATATGCAGAGACTCACTTACTCTCAATTGACATACCATCCCAAATATCTCTTGAGAGTGGTAGAGGCATTGCTTATTATTATGAAAATGGCACAGGCAAAATAAATAAGGTTCTTTTGATACTAATTGTGTTGAGAGTTGTGCTATCCTAAATGAAACTCAGTGTGCTGGGGCACAATAAAAATCCAATTGACCCGAGTCATTCAGGAGTAATTTATTGCTCAATATCCTCTCTGCTTTTTAATCACAGAGTAAATAGGCATAGGGCAGAGCTGTCCATTTTGGCAAGCCTTTTAATTAAGTAGTATGTTGATGGCTAACTGTAATAAATGTGAGCGTATAGGTGCTGTTTAATCCACTCTGTTTAGCTGGATAGAAGCCATCCTTTAAATCTAACTCATTTAATTCACTCTTGATTTCACATATTGGATTTGAACAGTTGCCAACAAGGAAAAGATATCTTACAGCCTGACTGAACCTCTGAGATTTATTTATTACGCTGCCATTGGGTCGCTATCTTGCAAAGTCTGTACCCTGCATATATAGTCCAGTGCAGTAGGGGTTCTTGATCCCTTGATTGAGTTTAGTTTGTGGTGTGCTGGTCTACAACATTTGAAATTAACATTAAGAAGAGGAAACAATCCTAACTTAAAAGGTCAATTTCGTCCCAGGACAGCCAAAAAAATAAAATAAAATAATAATTTAACATCTGTTCTTGAAGTAATTACATAGCATAGAGTAAATAAGAATTTACATAATGTAAACATGTATATTAATTAAAATGCTGAATTTTAACGACAGTCATAGGACAGTTTTCTATATGATATATAGCGTTTTTGAAAATGAACAAAATATAAATTTCTTAATTTAGTTTCATTTTAAATGTTTATAATTAAAATGCAGATTTTCTAGAACAATTCCCGTCTGTTCAGAATTCTGTCTATATAAATATTATATTAATTATTTTAAAATATATATATATAAATAATTATTATAATTATATAATTTTTAGGACAGTTATGTTTTTGTAACGAATTCTGTGAATAAGACAAAATCAGAACCTTGTTTCACGTTTAACAGTATGTATTATAATTTGATGAAGCAACATGGTGGTAAAATGGCAATGAAAGATGTGTGAGCTCTGTTCAATGGCCTTTCACCGTTCCCATTGTGCTGTCAGCTATAATGTATGCTCGACTGGTTCATATTACAGCCCTGGCGCTGCCACTCTCACTGTTCAGTGTTTGAGTTCATCTTTCTGCATTCAGGATCCAGATATTGTTCAGGATTGAGCCTTTGTTCAATCCTGGCATATTTCTGAGTGTGCCGCAAGGTTCATCTGGAAGGCGCTTGATGTTTTCTAAGCAAGGGGGATGAAATTTGCTTCCCCCTAAGGGAGAAACAGAGAAAGCAGAGTGTGACAGAGCTGTATGACGAATTTGCAAGAGCTGCCAACTTGTCTGTAGAAGTTCATTTTTTAGGAGGGTCAGTTTTATGCTGTGGCAGTTTGCGTATGAAAATCTGGGCTATGAATTAAACTCAAACTCTATCCCATTAGTATTCAGTGATTTTTTTTTACAACAGACCCAATAAAGAGTATAAGATTACATGAGATAAGAATAGTTTTTATAAAGCAGCTAAGGGCAGAATGCTGTGTAATACTGTGGTGTCTTTTACAAGAGTCTTATTTTAGACAGATCAGAGTGTCATGTTTCACGTGTTATCATAAGACGTGACTTGGACAAACACAAAGTAATATAAACACTCATGCGTGTCTCTGTTTGACCAAGAACCAAGTGTGAGATGGTTATGATTACGCTGACCTCCAATAAATCAAGTTGAGCCACTTCAAATGACAAAACAGACCAGAATGCAAAACCCCCACACGTTTCTGGGCTGAAACTGAAATATAGTGGTTCCTAGAAAATGTAATTCCCCACTCTGTTTTTAGGAAACTGTGGTCACAGAAACCTTTTGGTTACGTTCAGTACTATTCTAAATATACTAACTGTTAAAAAAAAAATGTAATTGATTTTATTTTACTAAAAATATTGAATGCATCAATCTGACTACAGTAAGATACACAAACAAAAGTCATTTCAAAGTATAAATAAGCTAATAAATATATACAGCATGTGTCATTAACTGGTATGGTACTCGGTAAACATCATGCATCCATCTCATTCAAATTAATGACTCACAAAAAATAATAAAACTTGTTATTTACTAAACAGAATCTAGTCGGAAGTTTATAGATTTGTCTCACAGTTAATTTTACTGCTGAGTCTAAGGGTTAGTTCACCCAAAAATGAAAATTAGCCTATAAATTACACACCCTCAAGGCTTCCTAGGTGTATTTGACTTTCTTCTTTCAGACAAATCCAGTCGGATCTATATAAAAAATTGTCTTTGATCTTCCAAGCTGTTTAATGGCAGTCAGCGGGTGTTGCATGCATCAGTCCAAAAGAAGTGAAATAAAAAGCGTCCATCCATTAAAAAAAGTGCCTCACACGGCTCCAGGGGTGAACAAAGGCCTCCTGTAGCGAATCTATGTGTTTTTGTAAGAAAAATATCCATATTCAAAACGTAATAATCACTTTAATGCGTCAACAGTTGTACACGGAAGCAGCTCCGGGAGGATGACGTAAGATGTTGGCGTTGCGTATGCGCCGGTGAGTCTCGTGAAAACCAAGATTTGTTAACAGGAGCAAAGGAAGCAAAGCTTCCTTACTTTAGCAAAGGAAAACCAGTCTCCTCTTGGCTTATATCGAATTCCTCTGACATTCTTCTTTACACATCCTCGTTTTGAACTTCTAATCCATAACCATTGTTTTGTTTTGATCTCTCCCCTGCGCTTCCGCATTCGTCACTTCTGAGCGGCGCATGCGCAATGCTGATGTCCTACGTCATCCGCCCGGAGCTGCTTCCGTGTACAACAATGAGTGCAAGCTAGATTCAATTGATTATTACGTTTTAAATATGGTTATTTTTCTTACAAAAATGCATCGATTCGCTACAGGAGGCCTTTGTTCAAACAAATAATAATATTTCTCCATATTTTTTAGGATGTTCTGAGTGGATGCCAAGTTGTTTCTATGCAGTTTAGTTTAATGCTTAACCTTAATAAGTATGTGAACAATAACAGTAATACTTTTCTTAGAAAACACCACTATGTGTTCTTTGTAAGTTTACATGTTTGTTAGCGCCAGACAGTGCTCGCATTTATAATAGTAGATGCTGTCGCTCCTTAGAAATGAATCCTTTAACATGATTACCCATAAAGCTTATGTAGCAAAACCAATGCACATGTGATTTATTGTGTATGTGTGTTATCTGATACTCTCGTGGTTTTCTTCCAACCACAACTTCTATTATTGTTGTAAAAGGATTTTCCTGACGTCTGTTTCACTGTAATTCTACAGCAGTTTTTGTAGGTGGTTCCTGTATCTCTGAATCAGGACTGAACTATAAAGATTACTCCAGTCAGTCATTTACAACACTGCCCTTGAAACTCCAGCCCACGGGCTTCACTGTTAAATGACTCAAACTGTCTTTTGGCTGCTGTTAGTCAGAAAGCTAATGCAACACATCTCTTTTTCACCCCCACACACACATATATACACACATTATGAACTTTTGGTTGTCAGCTGCAGAGCCAGAGACAACGTGGGTGGGGGTCAAAATCAAATTGCATGCAGTTCACACCTCTGCAAATGGTTTAAACAGCTTTTGGGCTTTAATTGATAGAAATTAAAACCAGAACCCCATTTCTGTTTGCTTGCATGTAAACAATTGCTAAACTTTTTTAAAGTGTGTAAATGGAAATAGCACGTTTCTTTGCTAGTAATTCGTTTTATGTGGTGACATCTGCCTTAACTGGTTTTATTCAAGTCAAAAATAGTTTTATAATTTGACAGAATTAACACCAAGAGTAATAAACACAAAAAAATATTTTAGAATTGTCTCAGTTTTTTCCACCCTTCAGTGAAAGTCAGTGACTGACTTTTTGATTTAGTGGACAATGACTTTTGAAATATTCTTCAGAATATCTTCTTTCATGATCCGCAGAAGAAAGACATACAGGTTTGGAACAATGTGTGGGTGTGTAAATGGTGACAGTATTTTCTCTTTTTGGGTTCCCCTCACTACTTTAAATGAATAGTTCACCCAAAAATGAAAATCTACTGAAAATGTACCAAGATCTAGATGAGTTTGAACAGATTTTGAGAAGTTTAGCATTACATAAATTGTTCACCAATGGATCGTCTGCAGTGAATGGGTGCCGTCAGAATGAAAGTTCAAACAGACTCGTATTAAAGTTAAAAAGTCATATTATAGACTTGTACTAAAGTTAAAATGGTTTAATGATGAATTTGTTTATTACAAACCCACAGCTTCTCACTTCACAAAACATTAATTGATAGATTGGAGTCATGTGGATTACTCGTTCTTATCTGCTGTTTGAACTCTTATTCTGATGGCACCCATTCACTGCAGAGGATCCAAATCTGTTAATTTTTGGGTGAACTATTCCTTTAAGACTTCCTGTGTGATTTTAAGCTATCTTGGTTTTGTAAATACCTGCTGACATCAGTAAACTATTTATGAAACTACTACAGTCAGTATCAATTGATCATATACATCATGTTGCCTAAAAGGGACACAAAACACTAAAAGGCTCTTAACCAAGAGGTTACACTGGGTGTTACTGCAATGGAAGGTTTCAGGCCCCAAAAATACACTCTGATGGGATGCATGTGCAATGTCAAGGTCTCAAACTGTTCCAGTGCAGTGAGTGCACGCCATGTGTTTGACGTCCCACTTATGGGGAGAGAAAGGACGGGTACACAATGAAAACAATTAATTACTTTCTGTACTGACTCTGTGTGGTAAATTGCATAATATGAATAGATATTTTCTTTTCTTTGCGTAACTGTTCTTCTTTAATGGGCAGCAAGGAATGTTCCAGGTTCAAAACAATGCTGTCAATTACCACAGATGAAAAGGCCATAGATGTGAAGCAATTTTTTTTTTAAATGTTCTGTTTAAAATTCAATATTTATATATATTTGATATTTATTTATTTATTTAGTCATTTAGCAGACGCTTTTATCCAAAGCGACTTACAAATGAGGACAACAGAAGCAATCAATTGTAGTATTAAAACAACTAAAAACACATTCAAAACTAAAAACTAAAGCTTTATAAATACTACTTATACACATTTTAAAAATAAAGAAATTAAATAAAAATGACAAATGCATACAACAAAATTTCAAAACTTAACATTTAAATGAAAAACAAAAAATAAAGCGAAAAACAATTCAAAATATTAAAGAACAAAAGGTATAGGAGTATAATAATGATTCTAACATAACACTAAGCCAAAAACCAAAAAACGACTACAAATGTGTGTATGTACATCATTTTTATTCTCGTTTGTTTGGACTGCATTGTTTCAGTAACAGCATACACAAGACTTTAAAAGTGTCATAAAAATGTGCTGATGTTTTTCTTATTGGGACATATTAAATGGCTTATTCCTATTTGTTAAATAGCCAGTAGATTTAGAGGATGGGACATTCTCATTCTAGAGAACTTTTTCTTAGACTGAAATTGGTGCAGTCCAACATGAGTCATTCATTTTCCAGAAAAGACAGCCTGTAAATTCTTAAAGCAGCAAGTGAATTCTGCAAGCTTTCACACAGACAACCTCAAAGCTAATAGACATGGACTAAAAAGTGTACTATGAATTTTAACATTATTTTAGTATATGACAAATGGTGTACTGTTAATGCCCGGGTTTTTGTTTGTTTTTTGTTGTTGTGGTCGTTCATTCATTCTAGCAGTTTTGTCACGATGTCTTATAAACTTTTGTCTGTTTGTGAGGTTGATGCTGTATGAATTGCCCTGTGAAGGGACAAATAAAGATTTACTACTACTACTAAAAAACACAAAATTTTGATTTTGATTTCATGCTGTTTAATCAAACAGTGGCTTTGAGTGTTGTATTAAGTGGCTGTGATGTGCTTTATCTGAGGTGGTTGAGCAGTGAGAGCAGCACTCAGAGGAGCAGAGAGGGACTCTCCTTGTCCATCATTCACAGAGACAAACTCATTTCCTGTATCCCTCTTGCTTTTGCACATTTTGGCAATAATATGATTCACATCATTTTTATAACCATAAAGCCAAGTTGTTGTTTTCACATGCTCAGCTGGGAAAGAAACTCGGCTTATTGTGATTGTGTATTTGTGCATTAAACCGTATAATTAGAAAATGTGTGTGTGTGTTGTGTCAGTATGGAGGGGGGAGAGCTCTTCAGCAGAATTCAGGCCATAAAAAACACAAAATTTAGATTTTGATTTCATGCTGTTTAATCAAACAGTGGCTTTGAGTGTTGTATTAAGTGGCTGTGATGTGCTTTATCTGAGGTGGTTGAGCAGTGAGAGCAGCACTCAGAGGAGCATATGATTCACATCATTTTTATAACCATAAAGCCAAGTTGTTGTTTTCACATGCTCAGCTGGGAAAGAAACTCGGCTTATTGTGATTGTGTATTTGTGCATTAAACCGTATAATTAGAAAATGTGTGTGTGTGTTGTGTCAGTATGGAGGGGGGAGAGCTCTTCAGCAGAATTCAGGCCAGAGGAGACCAAGCCTTCACTGAGCGAGGTGGGTTATCTGTGCCACTGTGTTTCATAACACAGGAAATGTACCATGCAAATATAGATGTATGTTGCCACAAACACAAACACACACACACACACACACACACACATTTAGAACAACCTAAACTCTTTCTACTGCCACCAATTTTACATGGTCATAATGAGGTTTAAGAGTTATTTAGTTGGTCTATATATATATATACTGTATATAACTATATATATATATATATATATATATAGTTATATACAGTATATATAAACAACTGTAATATCAATATATTGCTTGTTTAGTTAGTTATTTCCCCATGCAATATCAATTTAGTTGAATAGTTTATTAGTTAGCAATACATATATTACTTCCCCTGTATACTTTCTGTTGTTTAGTAAGTTTAATAACTATAAATATGGTTATGATGAAGTTATTTCCCAAGTTCCGTTGGTTGATTAGTTAGTAGAGTTATGATCGATTTCAGTTAGTTAGTTAGTAAGTTAGTTAAGCAGTCAGTCATTTTTTGAAGAAGCCACTGAATTGTAAACTTGGCTGATATTTTGAGACAGGAACTGAATAGTAGAGATAATTGAGGTTCGCTCTTCTCTTACACTTATAATCATGAAATGACATCAGAGGCAGCAGTCACACTGTATTCCCTCTGTTCTGTGCCTGCAGAGGCATCTGAGATCATGAGAGACATCGGCACAGCCATCCAGTATCTGCACAACATGAACATTGCACACAGAGACATCAAGGTAACATGATTGTTACAAGTACTACCACCTGTAAGATAAGAATTTACATTATATTCAAGTCAGATATTCAGGAAAATGGGATCTTTGTGTAATTGTTGACAATATTTTGAGCATCTCTATACCCTCCTCAGCCAGAGAACCTGCTCTACACTAATAAAGAAGATACTGGAGTTCTCAAACTAACAGATTTTGGCTTTGCTAAAGAGACTTCACTGCATAACCTATTACAGACGCCCTGCTTTACGCCATATTATGTAGGTCAGTGAGATGAATGCCACTCTTATCATGAGAGGTACATTCTTTACCTCTCTTTAAACAGAGACTAAGACTGAGTTTTGTGTGTATATGTAGTGTAAACAGAATAACACTTGGTGTAATAATGCAAACTAATGTGTGTGTTTTTATATATATATGTGTGTCTCCAGCACCAGAGGTTTTAGGCCCTGAGAAATACGACAAATCATGTGATATGTGGTCTCTGGGCGTGATCATGTACATCCTGTGAGTATAACGACTCTACCTGGTGCTACCTTAAGTGGTAAATTAAAGCTGTGGTGTACATCATTTTAAACTAAACTAGCTGAAACTGCTTTGTTCCTCTTTATGTTGCATGAAGGTTGTGTGGATTCCCACCGTTCTACTCCAACACAGGACAGGCCATTTCACCGGGAATGAAGCGGCGTATTCGCATGGGCCAGTACGAGTTTCCCAACCCAGAGTGGGCTGAAGTGTCTGAGGAGGGTGAGATGCATTTTATGTCTTATTTTGCACCCAGCCAAACTTCATGTTGCCTGTTCACCACCAGAGGGCAGTATCACTTTTGTTTTTATTGCCATCTTCATGACTACATGTAATCATGGATGTAATATATAACATGCATGGTTATATATAATTATAGTTTTAAATATTTTTTTTGCATATTTATTCTACTTTTTTTATTGCCTTTTTCAGTTATTTTATTGTATTTAATTTACTGAGCATTAGAAACATATTAATACAATTAGAAATATATATTGAATATTGAGTAATATAATAATTATTATTATCGCAGGTAGTTTTTTCCCTAGGGTTTAATAATGAATTATGTCTAATAATACATTCTGCTTAATTTTCATACTTACATTCTTAAATGCTAGTCAGCAGCATTGTCCAAAATTGTATTTTATGGAACGGAACATACAGATATTCTGACTGTGTTTGTAAATTCACTCTGGTTCTCAGTTCTGTTCACACTGGTGAATGATCCAGTATTTCCCAACCTATTTTTGTACCCCTACAGCCGTGTCTGTAATGCTCAAGTAGCCTAAAACACTGATCTAGATTATGGGGACCTAAACAGTCATGTTCCCCTTATGGATATATAATATTCTTCTCCTCCAGCCAAACAGTTGATTCACCAGCTATTGAAGACCGACCCTAATGAAAGAATGACCATTGAACAATTCATGAACCACACCTGGATCATTGTGAGTATTTCAGCTGATTGTATGTGTTTCTTTGGATGTATTTGCTCTGCATATACAAGGATCTAACACTGAAATGTTTCTTTTAGCAATCCATGGTGGTTCCCCAAACGCCTCTCCACACCACACGAGTGCTAACAGAAGACAGCGAGATGTGGGACGAGGTCAAGGTGAGCACTGGATGCACTGCCCATTGAAAGAATTACACTACCTGTTTAGAATAATATCCAAATATCATTGAAGTGTCTTTTTCATTCTGTTTTGTTATTTTTAATGTAATATCTGACGCTGAAGAATGGTAACACTCTGTAAGGGCATTATTTTCTGTAATACTATCTGTATCCTCAAGAGGGAGCCACACAACAGAATAAAAACAACTCAACTCAGTTCATTTTTATCAAAGTAACTTTATTGCCACAGTATATACACAACTACCCAATGTAAGGTTTGTGCCACAGCTTACAAAACAGTATTGGTGATGACCAAAATCATGTTTCTGTAATGGTTAATCCACCAGTATGTGTAAGCTCTTTAGTCACAGTAGTGTTTCTAATGCTAAATTGTTGTTATCCATGAATTTTCAAATTTACTGTTTTACAAGAAAGGCAGATAAAATAGTCAAGTCACTTAATTTTTTTATTCAGATGCCCAATTAATTACAGTCAATAACAACAGAGACTCATGAACAACTATGACAAAAAAGCTATATATGGATCTATGCTATTTAAACAAATCACTATTATTATTATTATTAATGATGATGATGAATATGTTTAAATTGTACACACAAACACACAATAATAATAATAATATATAACATTTATGTTGTGCTATTTAAATATATAGAATAAAAAAAACCTGCCATTTAAATAAATCATCATTATTATTATTATTATTAGTGATTATTTGTAATTGCATACATATAAATATTTTATATATTTTATTAATAATAATAATGCTGATATTGATAATAAAAGTTAAAAATATATATATATATATATATATATATATATATATATAAAAAACTACTCTTTATGTTATACTATTTACATTTTTTCACCTTTTTTTTTTTGTCTTTTGTTTTTAGGAAGAGTTAACCAGTGCGTTGGCCACCATGCGTGTAGATTACGAGCAGGTGAAGATTAAGGACTTGGATGCCTCCAGTAACCCCTTGCTGAACAAGAGACGCAAGAAAGCAGCAACAGGGGAGAAGAGTGGAGGAAGTGGATGCAGTAGCCAATGAGGGACTGGGGATGAAGAATAGACAAATCAATGATCAGATAAAAGGAGTCAAGAGCAAGAGTGGAAGCATACGGAAATAGATGGGCTCTCCAAAGAAGAACAGAAGATGCATGGATCAAGGGAAGAGGCAAGAACGGGAGACAATTTTGTTGATAAACAAGAAGATTTTGAATAATTGGAGGGAATGCACATGTGCATAGAGGAAGTCCTTGTTTCTACCACCAGCAGTGAAGAAGACTTTAAAAAGCTGCTTTAAAATCCTTCAGCTGTGTGTGTGTGTGTGTGTGTGTGTGCGTGTGTGCTGTATGTGAGCGTTCATTAAGGTTTATATGTCTTTTTTGTGTACTAATCTATTACTTGATGCGCACTATTCACACTATGTCTGTTATATATGTGTATTTGTATAAGATGTGTTTCTATGTGTCTTATCACTCTGATCATGCAGGTCACTCCAGAGACTTAAAGGAATAGTTCACACAAAAAAATTTGCTTAAAAAGTACTCACCCTCAGGCCATTCCAGATAAGTTTGTTTCTTCATCAGAACAGATTTGGAGAAAGTCAGCATTACACTTGCTCACCAATGGATCCTCTGCAGTGAATGGGTGCCGTCAGAATTAGAGTCCAAACAGCTGATTAAAACATCACAATAATCTAAAATCTATCAATTAATATCTTTTGAAGTGAAAAGCTTCTGCAAGAAACAAATCCATGTTTTTAAACGGATCTACATCTTGGATGGCTTGAGGGTGTGAGTACATTTTCAGAAATGTTTCATTTTTTGGTGAACTGTTCCTTTAATTTGATGTTGTTTTGGGCTTTTGTTATTGGCCCTCTTTACTGCAAATAAAAATTCTAAATGCATTTCCAGAAGAATTGCATGACTGTATTAGAAGTGTTTCACAATATTCCTTGTGTTGTGAGATGTGGTGCTTTTTGATGCAGTGAGTAATTTCCTGAATTTAAACTTATTATCAACATCTGCATAACTAAAGACTTGACCTCAGAAATTTTCTACAGGCGTCATTCCTTAGTGGACCAGTCAGTTCTAGAGAAGCTGACATCCACATACTAGATCTCTCCTTCGACCATCTCAAACATTCAGCTGTTTAATATTTTGGTTGCCAGAATTTGCATTAGCCAGATATAATTACCCATTCGGCCTATTATTATGATGAAATACTAGGATTTCCCACAGGTACTTACACTTTTTGTGACTATTATTACTACAAAGCTGAGTAGATTCTGAGAAGGAATGTTCCCGTTATAGCTTTTCAAAAATGTTTCACTGCAGAAAACTGACAGAAAACGCTTCACCTGAAAGCAGCCTGTGCTAAATGCTCTGCTTTCTTTGTGGTCAGGCACTGCATGCGGTTTATAAATAACACTTATCACACAGCGTTTTGGTGCAAAGCCAGTATTAGTCTGGCTGATAGCCGGCCACTTTCTAGTGAACATATTTAGATGACCACTTAACATTGACCTTTCCCCTAGTTTCTGCCAACTGATGTTTAAGGAACAAGTGCCTGTGCCGAGTCTGTGGTTGGAAAGTATTACAGTCGAAACTGTTTTGAAATGGTATTTTGAAATTGTTTGGTTTTTTGAATAATGACAGGGAACAAGTTACTGCAATCACAATCATAAACTATTACTATACAGGAAGTTTTTTCTCTCGCAATATACAAGACAATGACATCCACACTCAAAATGTATGAAAATGTCAAACAGTTATATAGATTTTTTTTAAAATACAGCATAAACACCCTTTTCTAGCACATTTCATGACAATAATTTGTTAAATAATAAAACAATAGATGAACTGCTCAAAATTATGACAAAATAGATGACTTTTTCAGAAACAGACTACCAGTGTTATTTTGTTTTTGTAAGTAACAAATTATATATATATATATATATATATATATATATATAAAGGTAGCTGTGAAAATAAATCTGCATCTGAATGATCTTTCATTTAAAAATTCACAAAATTCTAACCTAAAACTGAAGTAAAACAATGGAAAGTGGGGGGGAAATCTCATAAAATAATTTTTTTCTCTATTTCACGTTGTCTACAACTATTGGCACCCAATTATTGCAAAGTCTTTTTCCCAAGAGCGAGGAGTATTTTTCTTGAAACCCTCCCGAAACACATGTGGTGATCAGTGTTGGGGAGTAACTAGTTACAGGTACACTCTTAAAAATAAAGGTGCTTCAAAAGGTTCTTCATTGTTTTCAGTGCTTCAATAGGTTGGTATATAATAAAATATTATCAGTTAATGAAATTACGGTATTTAACTGTAAATTTAAGTTAAAACCATAAAACCTAAAACGTTGCTACCGTATTTTTTACGGTAAAATTCCGGCAACCACAGCTGCCGTTTTTTTACCGTAAATTTTACGGATTTTTTTTTACAGTGAAGAAGAACCATTTTTGGTTTCACAAAGAACCATTCAGTCAAAGGTTCTTTAAAGAACCATCTCTTTCTTACCTTTTTGTAATCTGAAGAACCTTCTTTCACCACAAAGAACCTTTTGTGAAACAGAAAGGTTCTTCAGATGTTAAAGGTTCTTTATGGAACCATTTAGACAAAAAGGTTCTTCTATGGCACCGTGAAGCACCTTTATTTTTAAGAGTGTAACGGAGTTACGTAATTTGATTACAAAATAAGTTTAACTGTAATCAGTTACAGTTACTGGGAAAAAATGTGTAATTAAATTACAGTTACTTATGAAAATGTTAAAGATTACAAAGGAGTTACATCTGAATATTTTCACACACACCCACATACAGATTTAATGGATTGCTTTCCCAAATTGCATTGACTGCTCTAAAATATGAGACACCAATGTTTCAGGAGTTTAGGACACAGAATAGGACACATTTATACGATAACTGTTTTCTTTCCTATTTGGGTTTATGTATATGTTTAAGTTTTTTTTAAGATTAACTGTTAGATGCCTGTGTTTCCTGTCACAGCTATGCAAAGATTTGATTTCAAAAACAGTATCATAGCAATTAAACTATATATTGTTATGATTTTAAATCTATATTTAACCTCAGAACGACCTCAAAGTAAAAAGTGGTCTGATTTTGAGGTGGCTGTGCTTTAAAATTAAATGATTATAATCTTAATTCAAGTGATGAAGGATTTTGAAAGTCTGATTGGGATGGGGATTTTCAATACTTTAGCTGTTTTCTTATAGCCACTTTCTATTTTGTGAAGCTCAGCAATCTTGTTCTGCACATCAGAGCTATACAGTATTCTTTGGTTTTACTCCTTGTGATGAATGATTCATCTGGGGAGCAACTGGGGAAGTCGTGGCCTAATGGTTAGAGAGTTGGACTCGTAACCCAAAGGTTGCGGGGTTTGAGTCTCGTACCGGCAGGGATTGTAGGTGGGGGTAGTGAATGTACAGCGCTCTCGCCCACCTTCAATACCACGACTGAGGTACCCTTGAGCAAGGCACCGAACCCCCAACTGCTCCCTGGGCGCCGCAGCAAAAAATGGCTGTCCACTGCTCCGGGTGTGTGTTCACGGTGTGTGTGTGCACTTTGGATGGGATAAATGCAGAGCACTAATTCCGAGTATGGGTCACCATACTTTGCCACATGTCACATGTCATATGAATTTGGCCTTTGTGTTCCTTATATTTATAATCCTGTGGAACAGGAAGTCATGGCTGGACAATTTCATGCTCCTAGTCACCCTGGCGTGCTAAAAAATCTAAATATGAATTTCTAGGGGTGAATATTTTTTTTCATAATGTGAGTTTCCCCCAGTTTCAATTGATTTTTGTTTTACTTCAATGAAAGGTTAGAATTTTGTGAAATCTTTGCATTAAAGATCAAAAAGATAAACGATGCAGATTCATTGGAGTAACGTTACCAAATCTACACTGGTGTAAATAAAACTTACATATAATCAAATTGTTATTTTACAAAAATTCCTGAATCTCTTTGTTTTGCATAAAAACACCAACTAGCAACGAGATATTCAGACCAATATACTGTATGAACATGGGACAGAGTGTTTTTATATATATATTTTTTTTACCGTTTTTCATTTCTTATATACTATAATGGTATGAACTGACTCTGTTCAAAACAAATCTATGAGGGTATTTTTCTCAAGAGCACGTCCATGCCGTGAGAGCCAGGAATAGGGGTACGAGTTGTGCAGGGTCACTAATCACTGTGACCTTTATAAAGAATGTTCCGGACAAACATAAAGGTCAGGATCTGTTGACACAAGTTGTGTATTTATTTTCAGCCTTTTCCAACCTTTAATCTGTTATACCTTTATTACCCCCTCTTGACACTTTAAATATTTCATCAGAATGCCCAAATATTTCAACAATTTGTGCTACTGGCTGCTATATTGTAAATGTAAAAACAGTGTGCTGTCTATGGCGAGATCACAAGCTTATGTTGATGTGTGTGTGTTTGTGTGCACCAGATCACATTTACATCCTGTTCCCAGCGACTCTTCTTAATTTCATGCCCTGCTTTGTTCCAGTCTGAGCGTAACCGTGACTAGTGTCACACTTTTGCCTTTTTTTTTACAGCTTACTGGAAAGCACTGCACTTAACAAGCAACAAAAACATTGACTGATACTGAGTGCAAGTCAAGCTCAAATCAGCTTTGCTTATTTATAGACATTTGCCATATGAATAGTTATTATCAGACCCGTGTGTCCTGACTTGGGCTGTGTCCACAGCTCTGTCTGTCTTTACTGATGCTTTACTACGGTGCGTGTGGCTACGTGACAGACATGTTCCACTGTACAGTCTAAATATGTTTTTGAATGCAGAAGCACTGCAGCATCCAGCAGGTCAAGATGTTCCTAATGTAGCCGAGACATCCTGAGAGACAGCGTGTAATTAAAACACCTCTCCTGCATTAGTCGGCCATGTAGGTCTTATTAAATTAGGTTTGAAATGATTCTCCACCTTTAATGGTGTAATTCCTTTTAAAAGCAGTGAATTTAAGTTTCTTAGCTACAACAATAGTACTTTCATATAAGTCCTATAGGATGTATATAAGATATCTATGTATATCATACATCCTAAGGACTTATATGAAACATAGATATATCAACAAACAAATAAAAATATATAAAAAAACAAATCAGATATTGTATTTTCACATTAGATTATACATATGTATATTTTTTAGTTTCACCGAAAATTCATGGATAATACTTAATAAAGTAAATTACATACGGTATATAGTATAATTTAGTATACGTAAATATAGAATACTTTATCCCCATGGTTATGTCTATCTATCTATCTATCTATCTATCTATCTATCTATCTATCTATCTATCTATCTATCTATCTATCTATCTATCTATCTATCTATCTATCTATCTGCCCATCTATCTATCTATCTATCTATCTATCTATCTATCTATCTATCTATCTATCTATCTATCTATCTATCTATCGGCCCATCTATCTATCTATCTATCTATCTATCTATCTATCTATCTATCTATCTATCTATCTAT